AGACTTAAGGGAAAGGATTTTTTGTGTTGTAAAGCATTTCATTATATTTTTGTGGGATAGCAAATAGAAATTATTTGTATTTTATTGTGATTTTTATTCACTATAAATTTAAGCTGAATTTGTGGCCATCAGTTTAACCAAGAGAGTGGTATTACCTGGTAATGCTTGCTGCACTTACTATGCAAGTAGAGAACCCACCAACAATCAGTTTATCTAATTTATAACTATAAGAGTGATGTTTCAAGGATAGATAAAATCTTTCAGGTTTTCAGTTACTTTCCTTTTTTCATGGAGTTACCTTGACATAACTTAATTATGACATGTCCGTTTATTTCCATCAGAAATGAATTGAAACATAATGTATAATCTTTTGATTTTGTTTTGCAAGGAATATACACTGCTGTACATGAATAAAATAACATGTACAAACTTCCATGAATATAATTTTTTTCTTTTCTTTTGTTTTCTTTTGTTTTCTTTTCTTATACAGTCACTGGAGGGTCAGCTAACAGTGGCTCACCAGGCCCACCTGAAAGAGCCCCAACGTTCCAGCGAGATAATTCTCAGATGACAACCCTTAATGAGTTGGGGAAGAAACTGTTGGCAGCAGCAAAGGTGGGCAACACTAGTCAAGTACGGAGGTTGATGGCAATAGGTGCACCATTTGCATCAGATGGGGTGAGTAATAATAGTGATTTTGTGACAGTTTGTGGCAAATTATGTTCAGAAAAAGGGGAGGGGGAGATCATCTTGCAAAAACATAGCCAAAATATTTGGGTATTTTGCCTACCATACAGTTTCCCATAAGTTTGCCAAAATCATCTCATTTGTTTGGCAGTGTTTGCCCCATGAAAGTCAGCCTAATACCTTTTTCATACTTGTAATGAAACCATGTTCTTCATAGTTTTGATGCTATTTTCAGGTCTGGGAACAGTTTCTCTCTCTCTCTCTCTCTCTCTCTCTCTCTCTCTCTCTCTCTCTCTCTCTCTCTCTCTCTCTCTCTCTCTCTCTCTCTCTCTCTCTCTCTCTCTTTAATTTTGATAACAATGAGTGAATTCCCCTTAGAATGTTTTTTTCAGTTGTGCTGCAGAGAATTTAATAATACAATATTTAAACATGTATAAAATGATGATATAGAGTCTGCTCAAGGAAAATTGTTTACTAGAATCTTGATACAATATATCAAATAATGTGTATAGACCTTGAAAATAGTAAAAAAGCAAAATATGCTTACACACACACACACACACACACACACACACACACACACACACACACACACACACACACACACACACACACACACACACTCTCTCTCTCTCTCTCTCTCTCTCTCTCTCTCTGTCTCTCTCTCTCTGTAAGAGGCTGAAGCCTTGGTGCACTGGCTATAGAACAGGTTGGGCAGTGATAGTGGTTATAGTGGCTTGACACATGAGATGAGTCTAGGATAAGCGCTGAGTGCGTTGGTTGCCTGTCCGCCCACCAGCCGTGAGGGCAGGGGTTAGACCTATGTGGTCTATGTCTAATGGCTTACACAAATTGTGCTTATGTACACAGTACACACACACACACACACACACACATACTTAAATATGAATGTTGAAAACACTCTACTGTGTTGATACTATGGTAGAAAAACCCACAATACAGGTGGATTCCGAAACTGTTGTTTCATTTTCAATAAATCTAGTTTTTACATTGTGGGTTTTTCTACCATATATAAATATATATTATTTTATTTCAACAGCCTATTGGCATGACTCCATTGCATTTGGCATCACAAAATGGCCATTATGAAACCTGTGATCGCCTGTTGGCTGCAGGCATGAACAAAGATGCCCGCAACAAGGTGAGGAAGAGCAGATATTGCACTCTAAGAACAACTGAAGTTATAGCATCCATATAAAATCTTGGCTAAATGTGAATATTGTGTATTGACTGTTTTTGCTTTCCCTTACTTGTTTTTTTCTATGATCATTCATTTTTCAAGTAGTTAAGAATAATCTGAAAACCATATAGTGTATATACTGATATTTTCTTTTTTTCATTTACTTTAATAGGTAGACAAGACCCCCCTCCATCTTGCTGCCATGGAAGGCCACAAGGACATTGTATCTTTGCTAGTCAAATCAGGAGCCAATATTAATGCCTGTGATATGGTAAGATTACTTTGTTGTTGTCTTTCTGTGGTAAAAAGATGCAGTTTTTGCTCCCACTTCACAAGTTTTTTGTGAAATATCTCCTATCAGTTATGCAAGTTACTTGCTTTCTGAAAACATTAATTGATGGAAAGCCAGGAAAAGGTATTCTCATTCCCATGATTCCCATGTTACAAAGGTTGCAGAGTTAGAAAATTCATATTGATGTGCATTTTTAGCTCTATTTTATATTCAAAAGGTGTGTTTATTTGATCTGGAATAGATGAGCCTAGAGTATATATTTAGAAACTGAGAGATGATTGCTAGTTCCTATTTTATTTTGCTGAAATTTTCATTGGTGT